GGGGAAGGGTGAGAGGAAGAAGAGGGAGAGGGAGAGGAAAGGGAGTTGTAAATATTTATTAAATTTTGATATACTTCATACGATGTTTATGTTTTAATTGAATGTTACGTATCTGATTGATTATGGGGTTTTTAGTAAGTGAATTGAATGTTACGTTTGAAATTGATTATGGATTGGTATGTGTTTATTTGTGATTGAAAAGATATATGTTTATTTGTGTTTAAAATTGATTTTGACTTGATAAATGTATACCAAGAGTTGGTGTTAAACTTGTGGATTGATATGTATTAGCAGGAGTGAGATTTTCCAGCTGAGTGTGGGCTGGATGATCTCTGCCAAATGGTCGGGGTTCCTAACCCCGACTATTGTATGTCTTAACCAATTTCTCACTTTTCCAACTTGGACTTGGCCACTCTCTGCTAAATGGTCGGGGTTAGGAACCCCAGCCATTTTGAATTAGGCATTTCAAAATTGTCAGGGTTCCTAATCCCGACAAATTTAAGTATGTGCTAAATTAGTCAGGATTTCGAACCCCGACTAATTTAGCTGCCAAATTATGGGTGAGGTCCAAAATAGTTGGGGTTGCCAACCCTGACTAATTAGGATCGTGATTAAAAAAAATCGACCAACTTTCTAGCCACGATGCTAACGTGGCGAGAAAATAGGTTGATTTTTGTAATAAAATTTGAATAGGGTCGAATTTTGGGAATAAAATTAGGAATATGATTATTTTAAAAATTTCTTCATTCAAAAAAGTAACTTTGCTACCCTCCCTTTAAGGACTTTTTTTTAGTTTTTTTGGGGGGTGCAGAGGAGGGTGAATTCACAACATGTTCTTTAACATGTGACCACAAAATAAAATAAAAAAGAACTAGTATTTCGGTGCACGCGATGCATGCATCATATAATTCGCTTGTGCATAATAATTTTTTTGATTAACAACCTAATAACGTGAATCGAGAACAAGTATTTACATAATTTAAATGAAGAAATTTTAATCGATAATCACTTACCATATATCTGAAAGTTCCATCAATGTTTTCTTCTTTCTCTAACATACATAGGAGTTTTGTGGTGTTAAATGGGCTTTGATTTTGCTACGTATAATTATTTTAATGTGTGGGAGTTGTGGGTTAGCTATGGGAGTAATTGGTGATCTTTTTCCAAGTTTGCCATCAAACTAATTTTCAAATTTTAAATAAATTTTGAGGGCATTATTAGGTTTTTTTTTAAGTGAAGCACACGGCCCCAAAAACATAGGAGTGATAAACTATATCTGTATCCGAGAAAATATCTGTCATTGTATCCACTAGGAGATGGACAGAGTTACGCAAATCTGTAACCAACACGATATGGTTACGGATATAGTTTTGTAGTGAAATACTTGAATCCATATTTGAAATATCCAAAAACATATTAGTCATACTGTCACGATAGTTTTAATTCGTAGATTATATATTTGAGGTTAATTTTGATGGTTAAGATGTTTAATTTTACCTTTTAAAATAAAATGAACATATTAATGAACTCTTTTGTTCACATGAACTATTTGTTTTTCAACACTATCTAGTTTCTCATATCCATTTTGTATCAGCATGCATATTCGCCTATATATCCTCATGTATATCTGTATCCATCTCTGGTTTTTAGGGGATATGGGTATGAATTTTTCTTACTGAGGTATATCTGTATATGTATCCGTATCCAAGATGGGTAAGCGGGTATGGATATGATAAGTCTCATATCTGAGCTGTATCCGGATCAAACGCACCCCTACCAAAAAGCCTTGATTTTCTTAAATAGTAGTATAGATAAATAGATTACAAGAAACTTAGTTTCTATAACTTTTGCTTTTTTCTTGTTTGGTTCACATCTTGAAACACCTTGGCCATTTGTTGATGTGACCTACATTTAAAGAAATTAGCATGTGTCCCAATGAATACTAACAACCTGCGAACTTAGTAGCTGATTGAACTGATCTGAAAACGGATCGGGTTGCATCTATGGTGGGAAGGGTAGGATTTTTTATTTTTTATTTTTATTTTTTTATTATTTTTTATTTTTTTTATTATTATTTTTGGGTATGGTGGGTCAAAAGCCCCCTAAAAGGAAATCACCCTAGTGTTGCCAACTTCAACTGAGCCTTCCCAAATCAACAATCTCATGCAAGTAAATAGGTTCGTGCTGCTCACAATCAGCCCATGACTCTTGTCAACCTCCTCTATAGTCATCTTGCAAAAAAAAAACTCTGACATAACAAAGTTCATAATAGGTGAAACTTTGAGGTAGCGAAGTTTAACAAAAGCCTGAAGATGGTGTTTTCGGAGTACGGATTTCATCATTTATATCTTGAATTATTATTTATTATTACTATTATTTGAAAGTTAGCATCTTACTTATCTACTGATTTCATTAAAAAAACAATGTGAAATTGATGCGAATGTAGGAGATTGACTAGAATATTTAGTTATACCATCTAGCGTGTATAACTCCAATATTGTTTCCAGAGGCGTGGCTGATAATTTGGGGGTCCGGTTCTAAATTTCAATCAGGGCGTCTTAATCAATCTTTAGAAGAAATTAATAATTGTTTTTATACGTAGTACTAACCATGGAAAGAAATTTTTATATCTAGAATTAAAATAAACATTAAGACCTAACAATGGTTCTATGCAAAACATGTTACGTGCAAAATATTGATAGTAAAAAAAGATACACAAAATCAACATTTTACTAATAATCTTGATATGTCCGACATCAAAAACTTCACCGGAAAACTTTTCTCCTTGCATTTTTTGTTTGCAAAGTCATTAATCAAAGCTTCATAATCAATCTTGTCTAAGAATCCACTTTCAACTGAGAGCAAAGCCAGTCCGTTTAGCCTCTCCTGTGACATGGTTGATCTCAAGTATGATTTTAATATCTTTAACTTTGAGAAGATCCTTTCTATTGATGCAACCGTGATAAGTATAGTCAACAAGATTCTATATGCAATACTAACGGCTGGGAAACAATTCATCCTCTTCAAGAAATTTAATACATCAGTGGCTTTCGTATTTTCTGGTGGCAACATATTTTGTAAGATTAGCAACTCTACAAATAATTCATCTCCATCAACATTAGAACAACTTCCTTTCTTAAGACTGTTTGCAAGATTAGCACAACAAGCTTTTAAATCATCATTCTGATATGCACATAATTTTTCCGGTCTAAATAAAAACCCAAAAATATTCTCGTATGTCTGATATTGTTCAAATCTTCTCTCTAATGAACCAATAATTTGATCAACCAGTAATAGAAAATAATAAACTCTAAAATTTTCCTCACCCGACTACTGAGTTAACTCTGATGACTGAGCTCCAACCTCAACAAAATGTCTTTTTCTAAAGATTTGTCGCTTCTCAGGAAATACTAGATCAACTCCCAAATCAGCAGCAAGTGTTTTGGCAGTAATCATGGCCTCTGTAAACCCAGTTTCTCTATACTTTCTGAAAGAAATAATCATGCCATTTACTAATTCTATAGCAACATCAATTGGAATGTCTTTCTCTTGCAAATGCTTACTAACCTTATTAACAGTCACCAATATCTTATACCAAATAGTCATGCCTAATAAAAACACAAAATCCCCAAACTCGTACTTTGCTAAAGATTTATCTTCACTTCTTATTTTTGTGTCTTTGTTATTTTCTGCTAATTGAAGTAAAGCTTGTCTGATCTGTAGAGGTTGTGATTGAATTGCCTTAACACTTTCAAAGTAAAGCTTGTCTGATCTGTAGAGGTTGTGATTGAATTGCCTTAACACTTTCAACACGACTTTCCCAACGTGTGGTCGATAATGGCTTGAGAGACGACTTTCCCAACGTGTGGTCGATAATGGCTTGAGAGTAACTCCTATAAGATTATCCATCAAAATCTTTCAACGTTTTGTAGAATTTGCGAACAAGGAATAAATTCGTTTTACTACTCCAAAGAAATCCTGAGCTTTGATGTTACAGTTTGCTATATCACAAAGGGATAAGTTAAGGCTATGACAAGCACATCGAGTGTAAAATGCTTTTGGATTAATATCCTGAAGTCTACTCTGTACACCTTGCTTATGCCCTTTCCTATTCAAAAATCCATTATCATATCCTTGTCCTCGAACATTATCAATATCAAGACCAAGACCCGTTAGAGCTATCTGTAACTCCTCAAAAAGTCTAAGGCCACTTGTGTCATCCACATTCAAAAATTGTATGAAATACTCATCCACTTTAACTGGACTAGCAGTGACATCCACACATCTCAAAATCAGAGTCATCTGTTCTTGGTGACTAATATCAGGAGTACAATCAAGTATAACAAAAAAGTATTTAGCTTCTCTAACCCGAGATATGATTGCACCTCGGATTTCAGAAGATATCATGAGTATCAATTCTCTAACCCGAGATATGATTGCACCTCGGATTTCAGAAGATATCATGAGTATCAACTCATTTTGGATAACATTACTTAGATAATGATAACGATGAGTATCAACTCATTTTGGATAACATTACTTAGATAATGATAACGGATCTGCTTATTCTGAATGCGATGAAGATGTTCCTCCATCACTTTATCATACTGTGCCACCATCTGAATAATCCCATAAAATTTCTATTGTTTTCTTTATCAATCCTCTGATTTTTTCACCGAAAAGCCAAATTATATTTAGTAAGATATTTCATAATTGAAATCAACCTTCGTAACCGTTTTCTCTAATGCTCCTTCTCTTTCATGATATGATCTTGGAAAGATTTGTCAATTGTCTGACCCTTTTCCAATCTAAGCTGCAACTCAATCCAAGTAGCCATGTTATGAATATGCGCCTTACTAACTTCATGTTCATTAAGCCGCACACCCCACATGTGACCAATCATTACAACCTTCATTTGCTAGCTGAGTTATCATAGGCTTTTTCTTAAACAACTTACAATAAAAACAAAATGCTTTATCAATCTCCTTGTAGTATACAAGTCACATCCTATCAGATGTCTCTCTATTATGTATGTGTCGAGTGTATAATCCTGAAGTAAAGCGTTTATTCAATCTATCTTTAGGACCTTTTTTTATCGACAGGTATCTTACAGGACCTTTTACAGCTAACAGATCTCTCCATTTATCATCCAGACTACCCCAAACTCTAGGATCATAAAGGTTCCCTAGAACTTGCTCACTTGGTTCCTCAATTAAGTCATTAAGAACTGCATCCAAATTCTCATTAAGCCCTTCTTCATCAGATTCGGTGTCACCATTCTCATTGTGATTCATATCATCAACATTTGCATTGCCATCATTCTCATTAGGACTTGGATCATCACCGTGATTTTCATCAAGTCCCTCATCTTCAATCAATTCCTTATTATCATTGTTATCATCTTCATCAACTAAATCTTTAGTTGAAATAGTTGGATGTTCTCTGACAAAGAACCTGTCAAGAGCACCTCGCTGTGATCGAGTCAATTGTTCCTCCTCCTTTTTTGTTTCCTCTTCAAACTTCCAGATTTGTACTTTCTAGATGGCATTATTTCCAATCTTGAACAAAAAATAATAAAATAGGAAACAATCAACAAAACAACCAAATTTGAAAAATCAATTTGATAAAGGTTAACCATAATCAAATTCAACAAAACAACCAAATTAAAATTGGGGATATATACCTATTACCTAATATCTCACTGCATTCCCCTAAATTTAGGGGATTTTGAGTCCCCTAAATTTCTGCCGCTCGCCCTAGGTTCTCCGCTGAGTCCGCCCGCAGGAGACTTTTTTGCGCAAATTGGAAATTAGGGGCGCCTCTGGTATAATATTTGCATGATTTGGAATTAGGGGACCCCCAAGTGGGGGGCCCTGTTCTACGAAACCGGAAGTTTCGGTTCAGCGGAGCCCCTACTTGTTTCTTAAAAATAGTGCGCTTAAAATGATAAAATTACCTTCACTCGATATTAAGTGACAAATACATAAAAAACAAAACAAAAACAGATTAAGTAACAACATCAAACAACTTGGATAACCTTCATTTCAAGAAAAAATAACAAAAAAAGTGGACAACAATAATTCTATAGGAAGAAGGAAAAACATTTTTATTTATATCTTTTAATTTGTCTATTAATAAATTTAGGATTTTTACATCAAAATTGTCTTTACTTTTACCCAAATTGATACTTACCACTCTTTTTATGTAAATATCTTTACTTGCTAACATATTTGCATTGTCACATTTAATCCAATTTTTAACTAAAAAATACGCGAGATGACCATTTTACCCTCGCCATTTTTTTTATTTTTTCATCTCCTTCATTACAAACCCTAACCCTAGTCTCCTCATCATCCTCTTCTCCCCGTCTTCCCTCTCCCTCTTTTTTTATTGAGCTTAAAGTATTGAACACACATAATATAAAAGCTAAGCTAAATATACCCAAGCTATCTTGATCTTCAATATGGCTCGACTTGGTAAACTTAGATGAAGCTTGAACTTGAATTTTTGACTTGAATTGCATTGCTTCACTCTGATATTCTGCCAATCTCCATTGGATATGATAGTGAAAGCTCTAGTCCATCCATCCTCCAACTCATTATTTGCCTAGAATAAATAAGAAAACACAAATACTAGACAAACAATATTAGTTATAAATTATTTGTTAAAATATCATCAAAATAAAAAGGCCAGCAATGGGCATGTAGAGGATACAGTGGATATTAGGACTCAGGAATAAGGTCATGTTCAGGAGTTCATTACAACTAATAGACCAAGAAGAATCATTCGTTGGCCAACTAGATATGATGATGTGATGAGTGCATATGCTTTGTCAGTGGATGTCATTGATGATTTTGTTCCTTCTACATATAAGAAAGTAGAGTCAAGCTCTGATTCAATCAGGTGAAGGAAAATTATTGAGGTGGAGATGCATTCTCTTCAAAAGAATGACACTTGGAAACTTGTAAAATTACCAAATGGTAAGAAAGCAATTGGATGCAAGTGGATGTATGCAAAGAAAAAATGATCTTCTAATGGGGATATTCGATACAAAGCCAGATTAATTGCTAAAGGGTATGCCCAACTTAAGGGTATTGGTTACAATAAGGTATTCTCACCTGTTGTGAAGCATTCATCAATAAGAATATTATTGGTATTGGTGGCACAACTAGATTTAGATTTGGTCCAGATGGATATGAAAACAAGCTTTCTACATGGAGATTTAGAAGAGGAGATCTATATGTCACAACCGATGGGTTTTAGAGCTGTAGGCAAGGAAGATTTAGTATGTAAACTGAAGAAAATTCTTTATGGATTGAAGCAATAACCGTGACAATGATACAAGAGATTCGACAGTTTCATGATTGGTCAAGGGTACATGGGGAGCCCATATGACCTGTGTGTGTACATGCACAAGCAACAGAATGATGAGTATATTTATTTGTTATTATATGTTGACGATATGCTCATTACTTCCAGGAAAACTTCCGCTATTATGAAGTTGAAAAAGGAGTTGGCATCTGAATTTGAGATGAAGGACCTTGGAGAAGAAAAAAAGATATTGGGTATGGAAATTGAGAGAGACAGGGTGAAGGGGAGGTTGAATTTGACTCAGAGGAGCTACTTGCAGCAGATGCTAAAAAAATTTAGTTTTGATGGCAATGCCAAAATGGTGAGTACTCCATTAGCTTCCCACTTTAAGCTATCAGCTAAGATGTCATATGTTTTAGTTGAGGATCGTGAATACATGTCTAAAGTTCCATATGCCAGTATTATGGGTAGCTTGATGTATGCTATGGTGTGTACAAGGTCAGATTTGTCAAAGACCGTGATCATGGTGTCTATGTATATGCATGACCTCGGGAAGGGTCATTAGGAGGCCGTGAAGTAGATCTTATAGTATATCAAAGGTACCGTGGATGTTGGTTTGGTATTTGAGAAGAATGGGAGAAATGGGCAGGATTGTGTTGGATATGTGGATTCGGATTATACTGGGGATCTTGACAAGTAGCGGTCTACTACTGGATATGTGTTTACACTAGCAGGAGCACCGGTATGTTGGAGATGTACTTCAGTCTACAGTGGCTCTTTCCACTATGGAGGCAGAGTATATGGCGTTGACTGAAGCTGTGAATAAAGTTTTGTGGTTGTAGGGATTATTGGATGACTTGGTGATTGCACATGATACCATTAGGATAAAATATGATAGCATGTCAACTATCTATTTAGTAAAGAACCAGATGTATCATGCCCAAACAAAGCACATTGATGTCAGGTTCCATTTTGTGTGAGATGTCTTGGATGATGGAGACATTATATTAGAGCAAAGCACATTGATGTCAGGTTCCATTTTGTGTGAGATGTCTTGGATGATGGAGACATTATATTAGAGAAGATCCACACAAAGGACAATATTCCATTTTGTGTGAGATGTCTTGGATGATGGAGACATTATATTAGAGAAGATCCACACAAAGGACAATACGACGAATATGTTGACCAAAGTTATCACTGGGGTGAAATTTGGTCATTTTTAGAGTTGTTGAACATTCTTCATTGTTGAGGGTCTTTGGAGGCTATTTGGATGAACTACATGAGGCTTGATTCCTTGGGCAAAAGGATACGTAGGCAGTCAGTTTGATGCAGTCAATTCAATGAGTTGATACCGACACGAAGGAGATCCTTATCAGAGTTCTCATTTGGGTTCCTGACTTGTTGTGGATTGAGTCCATTGTTGTGGATTGACTCCACTTCATACTGGACATAACAAGTGAGATGTTGGTATTGAGGTCGGCTTAGTTTTTTGAGAAAAACTTCACAGAGGTGGAGATTTGTAGAAACAGCGAAGAAGAATAGAAAAAACACAACAACTCAAATTGGGTGCAGATCGGTCGACCGAACGGCTTAGTTCGGTCTACCGAATTCGTGCACGGAACAGGATCTTAGAACCATGTTCTGGCCGGTCAACCGACCATGTCTGTGCGGTCGACCGAAGATGTGTTGGGTTACAGGGTGGTATTTTGACATTCTGGTCGGTCGACCGAAATATCATGTCCGGTCGACCGTGATGCGGTTTGGGCCTAGATTTGTTTTCCTGACCTGTTTTTATTCATATTTGATATAAATAGGAACATGACGTTTTCTAGGGTTAGGAGAGAGATTAAGAGCTGAGATTTGAGTATTGTTTGAGCACTTAGAAAGGGAGAATTTGTGAGGGATTTGAGAGTTATTTTGTGAGATTATTGAGTGATTGTAAATTCTATTTGTACTCTCTCTCTATTAGTGAAATCTTTCTCCTCCTTGCCCCGTGGACATAGGCACATTGTCGAACCATGTAAAACTTGGTGTCTTGCTGTGTGATGCTTGTGTTTGGTTGTTGATTTGCTCTCCTATCTTGTTCATGTCCTTCGATTCTATTGTGTACAACATCATTTCCCTCTCTGCCTTAGATGTGGGTCACCTCCGTTCCTCGATTTAGGATTAGAGTTTGTATTTCCTTCAAGCTTGGCCTTCATCATTCCTCCTCCTACCGCTCGCTGTCTAGGGTTTGTCGATTTGAGATTAAATGGTACATCTTTGATATCTCTTTCCTTGTTAAACCAAAATTGTTAATCAAACTAACTTGCTAAGTTTTATGGATTTTAGTTTATTATTCTTTAATTTCATGAATCTTGATGAAGACTATAGCAGATTGCATGTTATTTTTATAGGTTACTTTTGTAAAATAATGTGTTTTGTAAATAGAAGCAGTTTAGTAATTAGCGACTGTGGTGTTCGAACACTGAACCAAACCTGCGGGAGGACACAACTTTCCATGGTCACAATTGTAACCCCGCTAGGCTTTGGGCTTAAGGGCCGAGCTTGCATAGCTTCATATTCTTCACCTTCGTCCTTCTAAATATCCATTAATTATCTCACTCTATAAAGTGCTGATTGATAAAAAGAATGCTCCTTAGCTGCCTAGTACTTTGATTCATGGTCAGGGCCTCAGACTGAGATGGGCTTGGTTCTTGCATTGTAAATTCAAGCCAGCAAGCTTAGTATGCTACATGTGATCCTTGTTTATAGTTGCTATATTTAAAATGGTCCAGCAAGCTTAGTATGCTACATGTGATCCTTGTTTATAGTTGCTATATTTAAAATGGTCCAGCAAGCTTAGTATGCTACATGTGATCCTTGTTTATAGTTGCTATATTTAAAATGGTCCAGCAAGCTTCTTTCTTGAATATGACTAGTATATTAAATAATAGATAAATCGATCTTTATTAATGGTTTAATTAAGATGCGTTGTGATTGTGAACTTTGTGTTATAGGATGAATATCAATTTAGAAACTAAAAACTTTGGAGAATTTTCTCAAGATGGTGAGAGGGCAAAAAAAAAAAAAAAGCAAGGAAAGACTACGTGATGTGGAGTGAAGAAGAGAGTAGAGAGTTACTGAAGTTCTTGGTGGACGTGGTAAAAAATAACAACAAAATGGATAATGGTAACTTTAAGAAAGTTACCATCAATCAAAATGACCTGCCATATCTAAATGCCAAGTTTGGGAAAAGCTTCAAGTTTGAACATGTTAAGAACAATATTAGGAGTTGGAAAAGGAAGATTGAACCTATTGAGTTACTTATGGAAAATAATTCAGGATTTGGTTGGGACCCGACAACCTAGAGAATAACTTGTTCTGATGAGGTGTGGATAATTATAAGCAGGTTAGTTTGTTAATTTTAAAAAATAAGCATCTAGTATATTTAGGCGCTATTGTGATATTTAAACGGATATATGTTTTTATAGGCTCATCCCAGCACGCTAATGTTTAAGGACAAGTTATTTGAGAATTTGGATGATTTGCGCATAGTAGCGGGTAACAACTCTGCAACTGGTAGATTTGTTGGAGGATTAGGAGTCGAGGGCGTGGAGAGAGCCCCGTTACATAATGCATTAGGTGAGGGTAGGTATGTTGGTGATATTGACCTAGAATCTGTTGATGTTGACGATTCTACCTACCATCCTACTCAAACTCCTATATATACTCCACCACCTCCTAGCACTCCAAGTGTTGGTCTTGTGACTGAATTCATGTCATTGAACTCTAGCACTAGTCAAAACATCTGGAGGGCACGTACTCACACCAATACCCTCTTCATGGTCTCAACAGGCACAAGACATTGCAAATGGGATTACAAATACGAGTAAAGCTTTGCAAGAGTTAGTCTTAGATGTGAGAATTTTACGATGCCAAAACCAACCATTGGTTGAGGGCCGGGGTTGGCTTTCATTCATGGGTTTACTGATGCACAACAGT